AAAAATAAAAATTTTGAAAATTTTCGAAAAATTTTCCACTGCAGACGGAAAAGTTAGGGGTTGCCGGTGCCATCGTGGACCACCCCTAGGTCCGCCCCTTGATATTACATCATTCATATTAAATCCGTTTTGACATGTGATATACCAAAACGAAGGTATCATGAAGGAGAACACAATCCATTTAATAATGTATACGGTTCTAAGTTTGTGCTAAAAAAATGAGGGAAAAACTCATTGTTTAAATTGGTTAAAACCAATTTTCCAACAGGTTCAAAGGAAAACAAAACTTAAGTCTTAAAAGAAAATATAATGATAATATTATAAACGAAATCACTTCTAAGATTTCAAATGTTTCTAACGGGAAAAACATGAAAACTAAAATTAAATTCCATAAATGTTTTCATAGAGTTTTTCGATAAAAGATTTAAAGGCTTTTTTTGGAACAAGAAGTAGAGAGGTTTTTCCGAAACATGTCTAAACCGAAAGATTGATGATAAACTTGTTACAAAAGTTAAATAAAAAATAAATAAAAAGGAATACACGGCTTATTTTTTATAAAAAGAAAACATCATAGTTAAAACCTCTTCAATATACAGTCTTTTATAATATTAACCTAGCCAAATCAAAGAACCGGTTTATTATTTCTCTCAGTACCGAAAATTTTAAAATAATTAAAGGAAAAAGAAACTTCCAATTTCCTAAACCATTTAGCAATTTGAAACCAAATGTTGAGTCGGCCCATGTAGGCATGTACTCGACTAATTAACGAAACAATTATTTTGTGAACCTAAAAGGCTAAAACTGGCCTAAGCATGGAAACGTCAAACATAGCAATTAAACACTGATTTGGAACCAATTTTCTTCTCCGGCAAGATTCGCCGTTATTCCACCATGGATTCTAACGATGATTTGGGTCTTTTATAGATTTTCCATGTTCCGATTAAATTTCGCCATTAGTTTTAACACTTATCTTAAATTGTATTTTTTTGCAAACATAATCAATTTCACACAAGATAATAAATAATCCGAACATTAGTATTAAGAACTAATATCGAATCCTTATAATATTGAAATAATCATATCTAATTATTATTTGTTTACCAAGCTTCGTTCAAAAATCAATTTGAGCTTCTGCAATCAGATCTATTTTTTTTAAAAAAAAAAAGAAAAATTGAGATTGTCCCGTGACGAGACATAAATTAAACACAACTTGATGTTCACGATCTTTGACTTTGAAAACTACATGGAAAAGACTCGTGTCATTGAATGTTTTTACGTCGTTTTAGAAATATAAGCTTCAAAATAAAACATCAAGATTTAATGCAGATTATCGTTCTTTCAAACAACTATGGAAGAACTGATAAATGCAAAACGAATGCTCGGAAAGCAAGAAGAAAACTATGTTGCAAAGGGAGAGAGAAGAGAGCATAAAAAAGTTGTAATTTTGAGGCGTGAAATAAATGAGATATGAGAAGTTTTATTTATACTAACACGAAAAACCTAAATCCCCCCAAAAAACAGATATGATGACCTACGAAATGTCAATTCAAATGTTGGATATAATCCAACAAGTTGATGTGTAGTTATCTGACATCTCATCTGAATTCAAACATGGAGTTTATCAAGTTTTCAGAGGCTTACAAAAGATTATGTCTTCTCTTCCACGAAGTCAACGATGGTCAACACGCTGATCGGGTAGGTCCATCATGATCTAACATGAACACGGCTGGAAATAAAAGTTCCTAAACGAGCAACACGACGTGCAAAGTACAAAGTGCGCCTAAATCACATCATTTCGTAAACCTCACATTTTACACCCTCACTGCATGTGTGGGCTTGGTGCATCTCTTATCCTTCACTAAAGCCTTTGAAGGCTTAACAAGATAAAAGCCTTATAAACACATTTTATGTTCCTCCACCCACCAATTTGGACAATGGAAACCGGTGTACCTACAAATAACTCATGAAATTTCCAACAATCCCCACCAAGTTGGAAAGTTCCTTTCACTCAGAAATATGACGTCATCTGGGTGTCATGAAGATTATACCAAAGTTTAATATGAATAAACAAGAAGAGGTCGATCTAACGATATCATATGGATTTAAACCAAGATCCTCATAACCTCTTCGATTTACCCCCACACATCACCTACCATCTTTGTGTTCTCTTTAAGCACTAATATAGCCATGTGTTATAAATATTTTTCATGACCCTTAAAAGATAAATCACTAATCTGCATTTGAGGCACCACAACCTCTAAATCATATAGGAAAAGGTTTTACGACATTTTCGTTGTTTAGATGTATCCAAAACTTTGTTAAGAGTTTTAACTCAACCTTGTTTCAGCATCGACGTACTATCCTACCTCACATGAATCTATCATTTTGATAATACCTACTATCGTTTTTAGCCTTTAAACTCAAGAATTAGGAGCATTAATTTCAAGTTGGGTTTCCATTACTAAACGATTCCATTGTTGTTTTGGATAGAAGACTCTCATGGTAGCTATAACCAAATCTCTCTTCAGAGGTTTGGTAAGTGGATATGTCAAGTCCCTACTAGTCTTAACATAGGCAACTTTGATGGTACCACTTTCAATAAGTTATCTCACAAACTTGTGTCGTTGACCAACATATATTGACTTCCCATTATAGACAACATCGTATATTTTGGACAATTTTGCCTCATTATCACAATATATGGGAATAAATGTCATTGGAGTATCTCACATACGAATATCCAAAAGTAGGCCTTTAATCCACTCTGCCTCTTTATCTCATGTTGTTAAGTCAATAAACTTAACTTCCATCGTCAAGTCAGTTATACATGTCTTGTAACGTCCCAAATTTCAAACCAAAATTTTCATTAAAACCAGAATAAACATTCAAAACTCATTCATGAAAACATGTTATATTATTCATTAGTTTCAAAAGCATAAGGTTTAAACAAAGTTAAGTTGCCAAAATAGCGGAAGTCGAATAATAATAAATCTTCACTGCAAATGTACAGTTACGCAGTGTCTTTCCCACGAACAACCTGAAAAACATTTAACTTAACAACTTAAACATAAAACTTAGTGAGTTCTCCAGTATATACCACATATTCTATTATACATACAATGCATATAAACAAGGCTCTCGACTTCAGCCGATCTACCATCAATCCTCTTACGCATAAAATACTTACATACAAACAAGTCAACACGCTACGACCAGACCTTGGCCGCGTCACTACCACTAGGTGACAAGACAGTCACACCACCAATCCAACATTCGCGACACAGACCTTCTTTGGTCACGCTGTGCTTCTCGAGGTAGAGTATCTAATCCTTTAAGTGCTTAATACAACAAGTCAAAGGCTAACATTCTCATATTTGATCCTTATAATGGTTTGCATGGATAAAGTTTCCAACTTTATCCATTCAAAAGGCTCAATCCATCAAGATCTTTAATCCTAACTCTCCAAGGGACCAAAATGACCATATCTCTTGTATGGAGCAATGTGATGCACAAAAACCTAATTTTCTAGTAGTACAAAGGTCCATAAGTTATAAAAGCAACACAATAGGTGCTGTAGTTTCCTAAAACTCCAAGAACACGATAAAAGGGACCACAAGATGCTAACTTTGACCCACAAGCTAGATCTAAAAAGAAAATCATCAAGGTAAGAAATTTGGACTCACAAAGGTCCAGAAAATATGGTGAGAATGATGGATCTAAGTTGCAATAATACTTCCTTGCACCAAGATGGACTTGCTTCACCTTCAAACTTCACATAAACAAGCACACAAGTTCACACACTTAAGAATGAAGGCTAGATGCTGAGAGAATTAGGGAAGCCCTAGAGTTAAAGTCTTTATATAGGTCCCAAACCTCAAGGATTAGGGTTTTCACTTTTCAGCGACGCCGCGTCGACAACCAAATGCCTGACCGCGTACGCGACTTATTGACGTGGCCCATGTCGCGATAAGTGACCACCACACTGCGATCCGATGAAATCCCCAAATTCAGAACTTAAGATAAATTTAACTTAATCAACAAATATACCTGGAAGATGAGTGTTACATGTCTATATCTTGCTTCCCCAAGAAACATCACCACCAACTGGAGTATAAATCCAACCACTTGTGGATTTTGAATAACTGGAGTTTATCTATCCAACTAGCATTATAATAATCTTCTAGTATTCTGGGAGATGATGAGTATGTCACCTTAATAGGACATGTCATTTTCTACTATTATGAGAGATGCCAAGGTATCACAAAACCCTTGGGTTGCTCCAAATAAATCTCCTCATTGAGATAACCATTTAGAAAGGTTGTCTTTACATCCACTTGATAGATGTACAATCTTTTCAATAGAGATAGCCATTTAGAACTAATTGATGCATCACAAAACCCTCTGTTGATATTTCTATAAGAGTTATAATAAAACCGATCCTAGCAACCGAAACATATGTATTGAAGAAATTAATACTTTTTCGTTGCATGTATCCTTTGGTATACAAACGGTGGATATTAATTATCAGCGTACATTATCAGATTCTAAATAATCCAATATAGCGTTTTAAATACATATTTTATTTATACATGAATAATACGAAAGGGAGGAGATTCAAATGTGATGGTATCATGAGTCTTAGGTTAAATAAGTATTTCAATCATTTATAAAAATACCAAGGTTTTTCAGAAACCTTTAATTGGAGTGTTTTTATGAAATTAATTTAGAATGGAAATCCTCAGATTTTTATAACCAAATGTAAAAATTGGTCAGGAATTCAATTTCAATTCGTAATTCCTACGTGTCACACGGACAACACTCGGTTTTTTATATAGCAAGCTACCATATGTTGCATTTCGAAGATAATTCTGTGCCTCTACAATTATATAGCAAGCTACCATATGTTGCATTTCGAAGATAATTGGGTTCGTCTACGTGTCACACGGACAACACTCGGTTTTTTATTCTGAAAAAAATAAATTGAAAAAGGCAAGTGTGGATGGGAAATTTTGCAATAAATTTCATTTGGAGGTTGGAATAGAGATAGAATCATCGGCGGAAGAACCTTATCAGCCACCAACTAAATTTTCTAATGTCCACGGCGGCAATGGCGTCTACCGCCGTCTTCTTACCTCGTCTTCCAACAGGCATCGCCACCGCCCGTTGTACCGCCTTACCTAACCTCCCACCTCGTCCGTTTCCGACTTCAATCAAACTGGTTTCAGGTAATGTAATCAGTAATTTGTTTGTTTCTCTGAAGCATTTCGTCGAACAGTTGGTTAGCAGTGATTAAATTGATTTACAAAAGCGCTTAAAAAGTTGGGATTTGGGGTAATCCAGCTTTGATGTGTTTAACTGGTATGTAACTAGAAGAATTAGGGTACCATTATTCCAGATTTTGCAGCTGTTGGTCTTTAAAAGGGTATTCTTGTACTTCGAATTTTCAAGAATTCCGATTATGATGGTGAAGAAATCCTTTTGATTATATTGTTGCTCAACGACTTGTTTGATTGCATTTTCTTAAGGACATTCAAATTTCTGGGTTTTGGGTTGTTAGTAAACTATCTAACTTTCATTTCATGACAACATGCTAGGGTCAAAAAGGTCATCTCTGTTCCATGTCAAGGCCTCAGAAGATGCATCTTCATCATCCTCCATTGATACTGATGAGTTGTTCACCAGCCTAAAGGAAAAGGTAAATGCCATACTATAAATGGTAATACAATCAGATCTGAATCCCAGAAATATATGAAGGCGACAATTTATATTTTGTTGTAATATTCTTCTTATGTGGTTTATTTATGCTGCAAAATCTTGTTGTTGTGTATAGTGGGATGCAGTTGAAAACAAACCAACAGTCATAATCTATGGAGGAGGAGCATTTGTTGCTCTTTGGCTATCTTCTGTTATTATTGGTGCTATCAACAAACTCCCATTGGTAACTTTTATTAATTAAACAATTCACTTTGATTTTGTATCAAAATAAATAAATATACTGTTACAATTTCATTTAAGAGTTGTAATTTATTTTGACTTTGTTTTCACTTAATGTTTTTCATGATAATACCTCAGCTTCCTAATGTCATGGAGTTGGTAGGAGTTGGATACAGTGGCTGGTTTGTCTACAAATATCTTCTCTTTGAGGTAAGATTACAGAGAATGAATGAGTATTTTACTCATCGTGTTTATAATTTTGTTGCAAATTAATTGTTATATTATTTGTTAAAATACAAAAGAAAAACACCAAAGTATATTATGAACCAACATGAGAAAGTTGATATAAAAAATGTTTAGGTTTAAACAGAAAACAAGATCATAAAATATAGTTGTTATATCACAAAAATGGCTAAAATATAGTCTGTCTTTATGTATTTTACCCAAGTATATTTAAAATAAAAGTTATATGAAAATTTGTTAAAAGTATAAATTCATTTCAAATTGCACTCACAATTAATATCACACTTCTGGGAACTTCAGTCAAGCAGGAAAGAGTTGGCTGCAAAGATCGAATCAATCAAGAAGGAAATCTCAGAAACATAGACAAGTACACCATCAAATGGAATTCTTTTTTATTTTCATTTATGTAATTTGATATATTTAAAGCATGTATAGAGAGATCTTTCTATGGAATATGTATTTATGTACCCAAACACAAAACAATTTCATGTGTTTTATTATATATCCAACAAGTCATAATTGTATCATAACCCTAACTCAAATAACCAAAAAAAAAAAAAACATAATTGTATCATAAGTCATAACCCTAACTAAAAAAAAAACATGTATATATCTAAATTTGTCGTTTTGGTTGCCTAATAACAGTAATCACTGCCCTAAGGTGAAGAACACCTTTAATAAAATAAATACCTTGCTCCCCAATAAATGAAGCCCAAGGTATCCAATAACCAACAGCTTTTCCACTTGAAAAATTATGAGTCCCTTTACTCATACTACTATACTCTTCATTGGGCTTTAACCGGGCCCCAAACTCATAACCTACCGTAAATGGGCCCAAACCTTTTTCCTGCATCCCTAGTAAAAGCCCGAAACGACACACACTTTGTTGGCTCATGATACATTGCGCAGCCAAAGAAAACACTTTTCCCCCAAAATGAAACACTTCCGTGTAAATTGTTCCTGAAGGAAACAAACTCTCACACTCCTCACGTTTTAAATCCAAGTATACAATGCATTGCTGACGTGGCAGCTTGAACCTTACAACCTTCATGGGTCTTAACTCGTAGGCCCGTGGGGGATTACGGTTCTTGTGAGGGGATTCGGATTCTGCTTTGAAAAAAAGGGCTTCGAGTACGACTTCTTGTGCGAATTTAGGGTCAAAATCGTCACATGTCATGACTTTTCTGAGCTTTTTGCATGTCATGTAAGGAAACCGGATACATTTTGCGAGACGTGTTGTTAACATTTCGCGTCGTTCTTCCATCTTAGGGTAGTGAATCCGGGCCCACTTGAGGACAAAATCGTAAATTGCATCCTCGCATGGCACCTGGAGGTCGTCGCTTGACAAAATCGCCTCAAACGCAGCAAGGGGTAAATTGAGAATCACGTCTTGAGACCTGGAGGGCGAAATGGTCATTTTACATAACGATGTCGATTGTTGAAGGTCATGAAAATGAAGATTTAAGTTAGTTTGGGATAAAGGGATGTTAATTAATTACTTGGTTATGTCTTTGTAGCGGACAGTTAAGAACTGTTTTGCAGCATTTGTTAATGGCTGAACTGCTTCAGCCATTGAAACAGTGGAAGGAAGATCGAGATAAAGTAATGCTAATTTATGTGTCATAGGCAGATCTCTTAACAGACTGCTGCATCGTTTCATGCATGAAGAGACTTCAAATTTGTCAGCAGCCATTAGAACATCAAGAAGAGCAGGAGCAGAAGTTGATGTCAAAGTATTGCTGTATATGAAGTTCAGGAGTTCCATAAAGGGAGCTTCCTCTGTTGTCAAGAACAAAAAATAAATGTTTAATATAAACTATTAACAAAGTACAAATGCTATAAAGGGTAAACATAATACCGGAGGCATTGATTTGCAGGTTTACATTGGGTTCTTCTGATTCTTTCATCCCGTTTGAAAAGAGCTGCATCAAGATATTATGCTAGGAAAATGAATATTCATGGTTGAGTGATAAAGTAAAGTAAATAGGTTATTGTGAGCAGTGAGGCTTCACCTTGTAGAAAAATGGACTCTTTGCAGCTAAAATGGGGGAGCTAATATGTATGGTTTTAACTCTTGGAACTGATAAATATTAAAAAGTCAATGTTGAAGAATGAATCAATGTCATCTCATAAAATACAAGTATTAATAGTAATAGTAATCGGTTCATACCTAATGGTGTATGTGATTCTTCAATCATTACTTCCTGCTCTTCATCTTGGATTTCATTGTCCTTGCCATTATCAACAATATGATCGGGCTGATTAAGAACTTGTTCATCTGAATATTCAGCAGCATTGTCTACAGCGAACACTAAAAAAAAACAGTATAGGCATGCATAGAAACGCCTGTTAAGTTCACGTTCTTAATGGAAATCTCTCCACATGTTCAGTCAGAGCGATTATTAAAAAACAAAACAAATGCATGTTCACATGCATAACATATTCATCGATTATTGGTAAATTACGAAAAGATCATGGAGCAACTGACCGTTTTCTCTTGTAATATCTTCTCTACGGCGTTTACGATTTCGAGCGGCCAGGCTGATACTACCCTCTCCATCTGGTGTAAACCCTAGCGGCTCGGAAACGATCTCGATGCAAAGAAGACGATCGGAGAACTTGCTATCATTGAATGCAAAACCAAAGTCGTTGTTGTCGCGACCGACTTCAGACGAATAGCTAGAGTTCATGACCACCGTATTATCGAAAATATCCAAACTGGAATCTCAGAGATTATACGTGAATTAAAAGAATTTGAGAAAATTGAAAACCCTAATTATGCAACGTATATATAGACTTTAATAATAATAATAATAATAATAATAATAATAATAATAATATAATATAATATAATATAATATAATATAATATACAGATTCATATCCACCAACTTTTATTCGATATGACATTATTTTAACTCGATTTGAATTTAATTCGAAACTATAGATATCACACGATGGAAAGAGGGTTCTTTGAAGCGGATTTTGGAGCCAGTCTTATTTAGGAATGTTGATCAGTTGTGGAATAGTACCGCGGAAACCATCTGAGAGGTTGCCGAAACACACTTGTGATATCGAAAGGGAAGGCCATTGTACACAAAGAATCATGGTGTGGTGGAGCGAGGAGGTCTGAGCTAAGGTTAAGGTAAAACAAGTTTGCTTTAAAAATAAGGAAAGAGACTTTGTGAATGAAATATACAAGGAGGCCAGTCGAGAGGCAAAAAATGTGGTGGCTAAAGCCAATGCATATGTGGCAATATTTTTGAGATTGGACGACTATAAATGGATCAAACTTCTTAGTAATACAATGAAGTTATGGGATAGGTTATTGGAGAATAGGATAAGACATGATACACTTGTAGCTAAAAATGTTTCACTTCATGCCTAGGAGGTCCAGAGGCAATCCACCTATATTAGATGTCTTATGGAGAAGTTTAGAGAAATAAATAGGGACTTCAATATGTTGTTCGTCGAATTGGAAAAGGCATATGACAATGTCTCAAGGGCAACGATTTAGAGGACTTTGGAAGCTAAGTGGTATTAGGGTGTTATGTTAGAGCCATACGTGACATGTATTGTCGGTCTACGACATGTGCCCGAACTGTAGTAGTCGATATAAAGTAGTCTTTCCCTATATGAATTGGGATCCATCATGGTTAGACACTTGGCCCAAATATCTTTACATTATTTATAGACAAGGTATCTCGCAAGGTACAAAGAAAGGTACCCTGGTGTATGTGTTTTGTAGACGATATTGTTTTGGTTGTGGAGACTATGAGTGAGCCAAATGTTAGGTTGTGTAGAAGCCCACCTTAAAACTTAAGGGAAAAATTCTATAGAGTACTGGAAGGTCGACTATGTTGTATGGATCTGAATGTTGGTCGACAAAGAAGGATCATGAGAGGAAGATGGAGGTCGCAGAAATGAGGATGTTGTGGTGGACTTGTCGCAAAACCATGTTGGACTACGTTCCAAACTCGATAATCTGAAATTTACCATGAGTCGTATCTATTAACAAGAAATTAAGGGAAATAAGATTTTATTAGTTCGGATGATACAACCTACTACTGCGCTTAGAAGGGTGGTGTAACGTCCCAAAAACTACAAAGAGATTTTCATTTAAAAAAAAGTAGATTATCCCATTTAAACATTTTACTTAAAAACAAACAGTGACATTCAATTGTTGAAAACCATTATCTTAACATAGTTGAATTACAAAGATAGCAGAAACCAACATCTTCGATGTGTGTGTACAGTCCCACCGAGCTCTTCTCACGAACAACCTGCAAAACATTTTATCCATAAGGGAGGACGGAGTCACATTTTTTTTTTGGGGTTGGAGGTACCAGGGTACCTCCAAGATCATAAATCCTCTTCATGTGGTGCCACTCATTTATACTCTTCAATGGGTTGACGAACCTGCACATAATCCTTATCTCTTTACTTTTTCTCTCTTCATTTTTCTCCTGTACCATAGGCTTAAGAAGTTGTACCTTATATTTGTTTTGTATGTTTTTAATTGAGTGGATCGGAAAATATAGGTTTCTATGTATCGTTGGTTGGGAAAGATGGAAGAAAGAGGAGAAAGAAAAGCTGATGTGGCAGTGAGTTGAATGAGTTGGGAGGGAAGGACTCCCCCATCCCTAATTGTAAGCATAAAACATAGTGAGTTTCTCAGTATACCACATATTTCACTATACATACAATGCATCCACATAAAGTCCTCGGCTCTAGCGTCGACCTATCAACATAAATATCAATACAGAACGTGTGATTTACATGGTCCTCTCACAGTCTTATAATCACTCATTGTTGCAGTCTTTCCGCAGTCTTAATTGCAATAGGAGTTGTCAAAGTGGTCGACATACAAAAATGGGTTAATTTTATAAAAATGTTTAAACATAGTTTTTTTTTTTTTTTTTTTTTTTTTTTTTAAATATCCCTTGCAGTTTTACCGATAATCTTTCCAATTTACACAACTTTTTCAGAAAAAACCTTTGATTTTATTTTCAAAAAAACCCACATTTAACAAACTTTTTCGCTTTAGCTTATATTTTATAAAAATCTTATGGTTGTTGTTTAGTGTTCTTGATGGTTTCAACTTTCAACATTAAAATCCGAAGGAAACATTTGATTTTTTTTAATCAAAGAGAACACATGTTGTGTCCCATTCTTATTGGAAAAATTCATAGCAATTTTTTTTTTTAACATGTTTAGAGATTGTAGCAAGTGAAGAACAACGGTCTAGCTTGACATCTTAAATTAGATTGTTTTCAAAATCAATCTTAAATTTGATTTGATTTATAATAATAATAATAATGACATTAGATTGGAACAACTTTCTCTTTGTTTTGAAAAGCATCAAATGTTCCATTTAGAAAATTACACCAATCGTCCTTTGTGCATATGCCAAAATGCACATTTAGTCCATATTTTCAAAAATTAACTCGGACTGTCCCTCGGGTTGTTTTTTCTTGCACGCTTAGTCCCTCCACACATAAAAAGACCATTTTACCCTTATTTAT